GAAAGCCCTCCGATAGTTCTCAGGATGAAGTCCATGCCTTTGCATGACTAATTTTTTTAAAGCGCTCATAGTCATGGATTTGGGATGAGGGGAGATGGCCCATCAATTCGGCTAGGTCTCCACAAATTAGGGAGCGCAAAATTGGCATGTACATTTTCAGGGACACCCCCATATCTCGGCAGGTTACTTCAAAAAGAGTCAGATAACTCAGAACATCAGTGGGGGGCTGATATTTCGGAAATGCCCCCCAGTTAAGGTTGCTCAAAGTTAGCCCCGGAGGAGACTGTCTGCCATTTTCTCCGGGTGGCTCCTCGTGATTGTAGTCATACCTTGGAACAGGATGTCGAGACGCTCATCCCTCCGGACGCAGGTGTTCCGCCGCTGCGTATACACGCGAGGGTCCAGGGAGAAATTCCTCCTCCTTCTCCGCCGCGTACCATCGCACCGCTCCACCAGTTTCCCAAGCTCTTACTGGCGAGTAGACCCGTCCTGGGGTGGGGGAACGCCGTCTCACCGTTCTGCGAATGTCGCACGATGGACACTCTCGACGGTAGTCTCCCACAGACACTTCTTGCAGCTGCTGCGGCAGATCTTGATACTCATAAGCCATCCGGCTGACTCTCTGCCCCATAAGAATGGTTTTGCACCCACTCAACCGCATCGCCCTCTGAAAACTCCATCTCTTTAGGCTCTGCATAAACAAGATAGTTCCCTCTAGGACGTGTGGAGGCCATCCCAGCTTCCACTTCCTCACAAGGTGACAAGGGGTGGTTAACTGGCGCGCCCCTCTCTCTCTCCAAGTTGCAGGACTCTTGCCCACCCTTCCAAACAGTTCTTAATTCGCTGGCATCCACCAGCTCTCTCTCCGACTCGGGATCTCCCGAAAACCAGGAGGCGGATTCCACTCTGGGACTTGGAGGTTGGGGGGGGGGGTTTGTCTCCGAAGGAAGGGAACTGCCTTCTCCACCCGGACCCCATTCGTCCACAGTTCGCAAAGTGTATTCCTGGGGAGCCCCGGCTTCCATAATTCCTGACTATCTCTATCCCCCCCCCAAATAAAACGCCTTAGTACACAAAAGATTCGTGCCAATTTAAATCAAAGTGCCTTTCTGCAGGGAAGTTCCATCCCACCGCTGCCACCATGTAGTAAAGGGGCTCCTTTACTAATAATAATAAAAAAATTTATTTATACCCCGCCCTCCCCAGCCAAGACTGGGCTCAGGGTGGCTAACAACCAATAATAAAAAAACGTTGATTAAAATACAATTTAAAAGATTAAGATACAACATTAAAACATTAGGATGCAGCCTCTTCACGGGAGGGAAAAGGAAATAGAAAGAGGGGGAGGGAATCAAACTGATTCTAAGCCAAAGGTCAGGTGGAACAACTCTGTCTTACAGACCCTGCGGAAAGAAATCAGATCCTGCAGGGCCCTGGTCTCATGAGACAGAGCGTTCCACCAGGCGGGAGCCAGTGTTGAGAAGGCCCTGGCTCTGGTTGAGGCTAATCTAACTTCCTTAGGGCTCGGGACCTCTAGGGTGTTGCTATATATGGACCTTGAGGCTCTCCGTGGGGCATACCGGGAGAGGCGGTCCCATAGGTACGAGGGTCCTAGGCTGTGAAGGGCTTTAAAGGTCAAAATTAGCACCTTAAATCTGACCCTGTACTCCACCGGGAGCCAGTGCAGCTGGAAAAGCGCTGGGTGAATATGCTCCCATGGCAGAGACCCCGTGAGGAGCCTCGCTGCAGCATTCTGCACCCGCTGGAGTTTCCGGGACAGATTCAAGGGCAGCCCCACGTAGAGCGAATTACAGTAGTCAAGCCTGGAGGTGATCATTGCATGGATCACTGTGGCCAGGTTGGGGCGGGAAAGGTAAGGGACCAACTGCTTGATGAGGCGAAGGTGGAAAAATGTCACCTTGGCTATTGTAACCTGCGTCTCCATGGAAAGGGAGGTGTCAAGGATTACACCCAAACTCTTAACCGAAGGCTTCATGAATAGAAGGATGAATAAGGTCTCTAAGGAAATGGAGGCCAGAGATTTTCAGTTTGTTTCCCAACCTACCTCGTCTGTGCTTTCCTGATGAACACAAAAAACATGAATGGGTCTGATCCATTCTTCACATTCTGATGTTCCTGTTTCTCTTTTCTCTTTTCTCATGGGCAGGGAATGATTTTGATGAAGATCAAAATATCGGAAATCGGCCTGGAGATGGGGAGGATCTTCCTCCAAGGTAATCCTGTGCTAATCCCCTCCCCCCATAATCAATTGCTTTTTAAAAAAAACCCCGTCCATTTCTATGGTGGTGGTGCTTGGGTCTTTGAAGGATGGGAGGCAATAAACCCTTTTGACAAAAGTGCTACTCCTGTCTCCCCTCAGCATCCCAACCACAGCTTCTCTGGATGCGGCTGATCTTCCTCCTGAAAGCGGCAGCAGGGACCAGCTGAACAACAGACTTACGGATTTCGTCGCAACAATAAAGATATGGGATGATCCGAAGGAAGGCGCTCCGAGATCTTTGCGCCTTCCTGCAGAAGATCCAGGAACATGTGAGTTGCGGTGGCGAGTTCCCGCCTCCCCCACGGAAATAAAGAACAACAGGACACCAGTATATTTTAGGTAATGGCAAAATTAGGCCACAACTTTATTGATATACAGAATGAGTGGTATTGGCTTAGGCATTGGTCCTATCGACTAACCGGCTTCAGCCTGATTGCTAGAAGACCGGCAAGGGTTAACCACCAGTAGGGGAGTCCTGCTGATGTACATCAACTAGGAGCTCCCCCGGAGTCCACCGCTCGGGGGCATGCCTTAGGCCCACACCTCCATAGGCTTCGGACAGGGCAACGCCCACGAATCCTTTACCGGACTACCCTTCGATATGGGGGAAGGTGATGGCGCTTCCTCCCCCCCACTCACCTGCATAACAATACCCTTACCAATGCCTAACCGCCAATGCCGAGGAAGTTGTGACGATTGCTACGAGGTAGGCAAAAAGCCAAAAGGCTGGTGCCAATTTGCCAAGTGGAAAAAATTCCTACCAGGCCCCTTGACGGCGACCAACCGAAGTCCATAGCAATGTCAAAAGAGCCAAACCTAAAGGGGTGGGAGGGTGGGAAAACCGGAGCAGCTGGGGCGCTGGGGGATTGGCTGGCAAGGGAGATGACACGCCCGAGGATTCCCTGCTCTCACGGGCGGGGGGGCGGGGGGGGGCTGCAAGCCAGCCCCGAGTACGTGGGGGGAGGGCATGAAGCCCACAACCCCACCTCCTCTCCAGCTCAGAAGTGGGCTTTACTGAAGGGAAGCATTGCAACCATGCAGGGCTGTCAAGGCCTTCAGGCTGCTGCTTCTAGGCCCATCCTGCAAGGTGCCCAAGGGACGATCAAGGCATCCCAGCACATACTCAATTTGGAGAACAGAGCTGGGCCATAGTGAGTAAAGTGGCTGAGAAAAGAAAGAAAAAAAGCAAACATTAGGAAAAGAGGGTTTAGGTTTAGGATGCTAAATGTTTTGGAATGTTTGGAATAAAAATGTTATAGGAAAAATGGTGATCAGTCCCCTTCTCTGGGTTTCTTCTCAGCCATCGGCAGTGATTCATGCATGCTCCTATGGCCAACTGGTGGCGATTTCCTGCCTTTGTGCATTGGATCCGGACCCGGAGAGCAGGCAGCGGGCAGCAGAGGCTCTCTGCCATCTTCTGCCCATCCTGCGGCCAACAACGAAGGTAAGACTGGGAAGAATGCATCCAGCATGGGGTGGGGTGAGCAAGACCCAAACTAACCCTTTTGGCTTTCCTTTGCAGAGACACTGGCAGGAACGTTAAGGAACCAAATGCACATCATCGGAGCTGAGCAGGTCCTCGAATCCACCGGAGGACCGGTTTCCTGGGCTGTTCGTGAATAACTGTTACTCTCTTTGTCAGGGGTAAGTCGCTGTCTCTCCAAGCCACATGTTCTGGGTTCCGCAGAGGCAAGCACCTGGGCTTTCTGCTCCCCCAGCCTGCCCTGTGGGCATCTCTGACCTCCTCTCTCGCTTCAGGTCTTTGGCGCCTTTCTCCCTGCGGCGCAGCTCTTGGAGGCCATGTGCTTCCCTGGCCAGAGACCTGGTTCTTGAGAGCAGCTTCGACCCCTTGGACATCTCCCACCTGCTGCAAGATTTCCATCAAGCAGTTGGGCGGCACAAAAGTGAGGTAAGGCGTCTTCAAAGGTAGGAGAAGAAAGAAGGATTCTCCCTTTGGTTGTAGGGGAGGCAACCAATACTCCCCAGGGACCCTGCAGTGGTACCTTGGAAAGGAAGAGGCTGTGGTGGCACAGGGTCAAGGGTCCCTCTTTCCAATGAGGGATGGAGGACAGCCCCGCTTCCTTGTACTCTCCAAGCAAACCCTCTTCCTTTTCTCTGACAGGTGGAGGTGCTGGCTGGAGGCCTTCTATAAATCGCCCAGGGGCCTACAGGTGCAAGGCAGGAACATGGCCGTCTTCGCGTTCTCCATCTTGGCGCACCACCACCTGGACCAAGTGGTGCAATATCTCCTTCCAGTTTCCCTTCGGGTATGGAGCCTCCAGGTTCTACTGGGCTCAAGGGGGGAGGTTGGCAAGCTGCAGGGCTTGCTCAGAAAGCCCCTTGCTGCCATTTCCTCTCTCTGGAGCATGGCAGCAAGCAGAAGACTTGAATCTGACCATTGCTCCTTGTTTTTGCATTCAACAGAGACTGCGAGAGAGTATGGAAGGAGGTTTTACCATCGGCCGATCCAGAACAACTGCTCAATCTCATGGCCGAGCAGATTTTACCAAAGCCCCTTGGCGGAATCTGCCACCCAAGTGGTAAGGACCAACCACCTGCTTTCTGGCCTTCCTTCTTTCCCAGGGTAATATCGAGGGGTTCCTGTATCTGCAAGAAAAGCAGAGAAAGTGACTTGCCACCCCTCTCTCTTCCAGCAACATCTCACCAGCCTGTGGCAAACCGCCATCCTCAGGATGGAGGACTACAAGGCAGCTGTGCGCAGAACTTCCCACAGCTGCTGATCGCTCTCCTGGGGATGAGTTGTCAACTTCCACTACTATCAGGAATTCCTTGGGTGGAGTAGTGTGTTGCAAAGGGACCAATGGAGTCCCCTTTCCCCTATCAGCCTCGAGGGGTTTCCAGTCCAGCTTGGTTTTCCAAGGGAGGCTCTCCTTCAGGCGGCTGCTGGGGAAGGAATGTGAGTGTGTGCCAATGACCCTCCTGGTAAAACTGGCCTTGCTTTGGTTCCAGAGGGGCTAAGGAAGTTCTGCACCTCCTTCTTGGCACCACTGGAGAGCAAGTGGAGGCGGCCATCGTTGACCAACTTTTCTGCCGGGAGACTTTCAGCCAGGGGTTGTCTGCCATGGTGAGGTAAGAGGAAGAACGCGGTGACCTTCCCCAGTGGTCTGGCAAACGGAGCTGAAGGCACGGGATCGGACTGTGCCCGTTTGCTTCCTGCGGTGTCTTTCCCTTCCTTACCAAGATCTCCTTCTCCATTTCAGAGCCGTCGGAAAACAACGCTGGTGGATCTCTCCCATGGTGGAAAGCATCATCGCTGCTCTCGAGGACCAGGAATTTCCTGGGATGCCACAAGTCGCGGCAGCTATCTACATTGAGGTGAGGGGGACTGACGCGGGCGGAAATGGGTGCAGCAAGGAGGCCCTGGCTTGGTTTCTGCCGAGTGTTGGGCTACTTTGAGCCTAAGGACTGTTGCCTGTTTTAGTGCTCCTCAGAGTAGACCCATTGGATTTGATGTACATGGCAAACTTTGGTCCATTCACTTCAGTGGGTTTGCTCTGTGCAGAATTGCAAATGGTGGGTAAAAGGAGAACCTGCCTCAGCCTCTTATCCCTGAAGGGTTTCTTTCTCTTTGGGCCTCTTTAGCTGCTCAGCTGCCGTCTGGGGGTCTATCCCTGTGAAGATACACTGGAGCAGCTCCTCAACTGGCTGGAACACGACTGCCTGGAAGTCCGGAAGCTCAGTGTCAGAGGGATATCCCTGCTTCTGGACTCTGACATGGCAAGTGATGCTCAGAGGAGGGGGGGGTACAGATCTTGATTCTAATCATGGCCCAGCACTCTTTTGCTGGCACAATACTGAAGGGCCTGTGCTAAAAGGCGTGAGGCCTTTCAGACCTTTGAAAAGATTCTCTCTTTTGTGTAGGACCCTTCCTTCCTGAGGGATTCCCTCTCTGATGTAGAAGCTGATGTCCTCCCAGAATTGATAGAGCTGGTAGACCAAGCCTACCATTCCAGGGAGCTGGGAGAGAAAGACCTGGAGATGCTGGCGGCAACCTACTGCGGCCTGGCTGCCCATGTGAGTATGAGGGGAAACATGACACCACACCCAATGGAGGAGGAATGCTTTGGAAGAGGAAGGGTGGGGTTTAGACTGGCATGCAGCGGAGATGTTCTGGCTTCAGGAGGGTGTTCCTGATCTGATGAGAAACACAACCTCTGATATTTTCTGCCTATAGGAGGAAGCCTCCGTCCGGGAATCAGCCATCGAACATCTGGGGCTGCTTCGGGGCTGGGCGAGAGACCAAAGACTTCCCATTACAACAACAGAAGAGGAAGCCATTCACGAACTGGTTGTGGTCCTCATTCACCTCGAAGACGAGGACCTTGAAGTGGCCAAGGTGAGGGCCAAAGAGGTGGACTTATGCAGTAGGAGGGAGGGATTGTTCTCAGGAGCTTCCGAGACTATGTACCGCAATTTGTAACCCTCTTCTCTTCTTGTGTTGCAGGCCGCAAGGAGGGCTCTTTCCCATCTAGCCCCAGAAGTCAAGTGGTGGGCTCGTTCCAACAAATTTAGCCTCCACTTTGCTCTCCACCAGGCTGCCAAGCATATGGTAAGGTCCCTCTGCCTTTGTTGGCAGCTTTGCCCAGGCATGTCTTTGGGAGTGCAAGGCTCTTCTGCTGCGCTCTCAAGCCTCTCTGATGCCACTTCTCCTTTGTCTTTGCCCACAGAGCAAGACCTTCAGCAAGGGCATCCTTCGGAGTGCTGCCTTATCATGTACGCAGCCGTCTGCCAACAGTCTGCCAGCAGTCTCCAGGGTGGCAGCTCTGCTTCTGGGTAAGTCAAGCAACGTTCTTCCCTGGTAGGGATGGACAGAAACGTCTTGGTAGGCCTCCATCTGTGCCCAGATCTTGCTCTGAGTGCTCCGTGAGGGTGGAGGCCTCTAGAGCATACCTGTCCTCCTGCCGAGCTGCCTCTGTCTCCGCTTGCTTTGCACCCAGATGACGTCCCTTTTCTTGCCTCTTTCTCTCTCTAGGTCATCTGGCTTTCCGGGATGCCAGTTTCATCCACAATCAAGACATGGCATCCTATGGAACATGTGAGTGAGACGTACGGAGGGCAGGGAGGGATGCTTCTGCTGAGAAAGGTCTTCAGGGGAAGGCAAATTCTCAGATGTATGTTCAGGCAGAGGTGCCACAAGATGAACATGCAAAGAGAATTGGAATGTGACTTCACTGCTCTCTCTTACACACAAACACAGCTGACGGCTGTTTTCATATTGTTGATGGGTGGCTCTTTTCCTGTGCATCTCTGCCTTGCTCAACCTTTCTCCCTTGCCACTCAGGGCTGGAAGAGATGCAGCAGCACGAGGAAGAAGAGCTTAGGCAGACAGGGAGGAGCTGCCTGAACATCGTGCAGCGGGCCTATAGACATCGGAAGAAAGGCAGGGTCCAGCGCTTTTTGAGGAGGATGCTCCACTGCGTTCACAGGGAACCTTACCCGAAGGACTTCCTGAGCTGCATGCCAGGTGAGTGAGGCATCTGGTGGGCTATTGGGACATCTGGTGGGCTGTTTGGATGGGCGTTTCTCAACGAGCCCCTTTCTCCGCCTGACAGAACATCCGGAGTAGCGCCAAGGCAACGTGGACACCAGAGTTGTGCTGCAGAGATACCATCTTCTGCTCTCCGCAGGATCCAGTCTGGACCAGCGCCAGGAACATCAACACCATCAGGATCGACCAAGAGGAGTGGTGCTGCCCTCACGACCCTCCGTACAGCGGTAGGAAACCTTTTTGTTGTTGTGTTTCTTGTTGATGTTGTTTTTGATTGTTGATTTTATTGATTTTGAATCTCAGGGTGGTTCACAACACCAAGTATATGAAGCACAAAATAAATAATAAGAATAATCACTGCACAAAATTCATAATAAAAATATCAGAACATAATATAAATTAAAATAATAAAAACATACTAAAAATAGCCACAAGACCAATGTATGCACACTAATAAACAATACAAGAGCCCTGAAACAACACTCCAGCCCACAAATACAAAATCTAAATCAACGTAACACATTTAACAACCATTTAAAACAACCCCACCTTCTTGAAGAAGGCTGATATATTAGATTTAGAAGGTTGGAATACGAGGTTTGGATGGCACGCCTACCTAACATACAACAAAGTGGCAGTGCATAAGGACTTTTAAAATCATATACAGTGGTACCTCGCAAGACGAATGCCTCGCAAGACAAAAAACTCGCTAGGCGAAAGGTTTTTCCGTTTTCGAGTTGCCTCGCAAGACGATTTTCCCTATGGGCTTGCTTCGCAAGACGAAAACGTCTCGCGACTTTGTTACCTTTGTCTAAAAACCGTTAAAACAAAGGGTGCTTAGCTTGAACAGCTGCAGTTGCGACTTGACTTCGAGGAGCAACTGTTAGCACGTGGTTTGGTAGCCTTTTCTCAGACTTTGCTCACTTTTGAAGCTTTTCCAAACTTACCATTTGGTAAGTTAAACTTTTAAAACTTTTTTGGGGGGTTTTGGATTTTGGGTTGGGGTGTTTGGGATTCAAGGACTTGGTGTTGTGGGGGTTTGCGATAATCTGGGAGCTTGTGGGGCTTTTTTTGGAATTTTTTATGATTTTCTGTGACCATTGGGCCAGGTTGGTTTTTTTTGAAAATTTTTCTGAGTTTGAATTTCTGAGTGCTGGCTGGCTGGGGGAACAGTTGGAGAGGTTTCTGCAGGAATCTGGGAGCTTGTGGGCTTTTTGGGAATTTGTATGATTTTCTGTGACCATTGGGCCATGTTGTTTTTTTTTCAAAAAAAAAATTCTGAGTTTGAATTTCTGAGTGCTGGCTGGCTGGGGGAACAGTTGGGGAGGTTTCTGCAGGAATCTGGGAGCTTGTGGGGCTTTTTTTGGAATTTTTATGATTTTCTGTGACCATTGGGCCATGTTGTTTTTTTTTCAAATTTTTTTTCTGAGTTGAATTTCTGAGTGCTGGCTGGCTGGGGGAACGGTTGGGGAGGTTTCTGCAGGAATCTGGGACCATTGGGCCATGTTGTTATTTTTTGAAATTTTTTTTGTCTGGGTGGCGGGGAACAGTTGGGGAGGGGTTTGCAGCAGTTGG